TCTGAAGTCTTCATTTCCTTGCCTCTGCCTCTCAAGAGCTAGGATTATAGATAGGCTTGCATGGTTCCATTTCGCTGAAATGTAATTTTATTTGTCTACTTGACGAGAGTTTCTCACTATGTAGCCTAGGCTGGCCTGAAATTTCAAGGTACTAAATTTAAGTTTGGAACTAGGATTCCAAGCTTGCCCCACCACACCCAGTTCAAATACTTTACACCTAAATTGTACTCAGATTTAAGTGAGGCTGCTATGAATTTAGTCTGGTATTTGACAAAAAGGAAAAAAGAAGCAGCTGGTTTTAAGACAATAAAAGCAATGGGTAAGAAAAGCTTCATACAATGTCAGGTATGAGAAAGGAGGAAAGGAAAAAAGAAAGAAAGAGAGGGAGGAAAGAACCTTCAGAAAAAATGTCACTGTACATTTTTCATCCTATACAGAGGCTTTGAGACAGGGTCTCATTTTTGCCCAGTCTGGTCTCAAACAGTTGATCCTTTCGCCTCCACTTCCCAAGTGGGGGGATTTACAATCATGTTATCACCACACCCGGCTGATTCTTAGGTTCCACCAGGTTTCTCTCTAGGTGCTTCTCTGACTTCACATTTAGCCATGTCTGGTGGGAGGCATTTTTGGCTATTACAAATGGGAGAGGGATCTGGTAAATAAACACTCCTTAAGATAGACATAAACCACCTCACTTTCTTCAAAAACCTTCTCTAAAAAGCCAATCCTGACAAAATTAAAAAAACCCATGCTGGGTGGTGGTGGCACATATCTTTAGTCCCAGCACTCAAGAGACAGGTGTGAGTGAACTCTGTGAGTTCAAGGCCAACCTAGTCTACAGAGTGAGTTCCAGGAGAGCCAAGGCTACACAGAGAAACCCTATCTCAGAAAACCAAACCAATCCAAAAAAACTCAGTTACCATGTAGCTGAGTCATCCTACTAGTCTATGTATCTAACTCTTGTCTTTTCCTCCTTACCAATAAAACCATATTTTTATTCCCAACACACTGCTTTCATTGCAGTCAGGGGTAGTGGCACAAGTTTTTAATCCCAGCACAAAACAGGTAGAGACAAGAGGACAGTAAATTAGAGGCCAGCCTGGGCTATAAAGAGGGTACAAAGCCAACCCAAGACTCATTATTAATACACTAAATCTAAACCTTTCAAACTAAATGCTGGGTCTCCAATAATCCAATTCTGACCAGTCGACTTATATTTGAACTTCTCTAGTTAAGAATATAATATTGAACTGTCCACCCCAAATGACGCTCTCATCTTTGGGCTTTTACTCATGCCATTTCACGACAGAAATACTCCTCCTCTTCTTTTTCAATTTCTTAGGCTTCAAATTCTACTCACTCAAACCATTCCCCCCCCTTTTTTCCTGACCTACAAAGATCTCCCTTTCCTGAATTCTTATACTAGTATCTGTGTAATCACATGCAATACTTGTAACATCTAATTTTCCCGTTAATCATTTTTTATGTTCTCAGAAAGGCCAGAACCTTAAATTTAGGAATTAGGTCTCCAAAGTTGATAGCTTTTCAAGACAGGGTTTCTCTCTGTAGCCCTGGCTGTCTTGAACTAACAAGAGATCCATCAGCATGGACCTAACAAGTCTCACAAGTGCTGAAATCAAGTGCTGCTATATTTTTCATTTTTAAAATAGCACCACCAAAATAAAATTCAGGCAGTCATTTTTCATACCAACCCAGGAATCCCACCACCAATGTTTCAACAGTTCTACTTTTTATTTCTTTAATTTCTACCTTTATCTACTTCTTTCTTATTCTACTGCTATGATAGGTATCTTCACTTCCAAGGCTACTGGTTTTACTCTTTTTTTTTCGGTCTTTTAAAATATTTTATTATGCATACAATGTTCTGCCTGCATGGACACCTGCACACCACAAGAGGACACCAGATCTCAAAGGTGGTTGTGAGCTATCATGTGGTTGCTGGGAATTGAACTCAGGACCTTTGGAAGAACAGCCAGTGCTCTTGGCCTCTGAGCCATCTCTCCAGCCCCTGGTTTTACTCTTGATCATTACACTTCTCACATAGTAGCCACAGTATGTATATGTATACTCTTTGAATCAATCTTAGGTGCTACTTGGGACATCTTACCCCAGCCAAAAGTACTTCTTCACTATTTAATAAAACTCTAAAAAAGAATGATCCGTATACAGTACCAAAATTACTATAATGATTTTTTTTTTTTTGAAACAGTCTTATGTAGTCCAGGCTGACCCTGAACCCCTCATCTTCTTGCCTCTAACTTCAAGTGTTGGGGTTTCAGATTCGGGTTACCGTGCTAGATTTTTGCATCCAGTTACTCTATTGCATATTAAAAGCATGTTCAAAAGTCTTGTTTACAATTTCATCCAATACTTATGTAAAGCTTCACTTACACAACAACTTGATAGAGCTTTATCAATTGATGTATCTATATAAAATGCCTCTTAAAGCCCCAAGGCTGGTAAAATGGGTCAGAGGATGCTTGTCACCAAGACTCACTGACACACACATGCACACACAATAAACAAAACACCTGCCAACAAAAAGGCCACCAATTTTATCAAGTGAACTTTTATAGGCATCAAAATAGCACATGCCTTTAATCCCAGCCAAGGCTACATCCTGAGACCCCGCCACAAAAATTTTGCCTTGTAAGATCAAAGATGTTTTTCTTGTAAAGAGTCAAATACAAATAAATAGTTTTTCTATGAGAGCTAACTTGGGGTGGAGCCTATTTTTAAGTCTATATGGCACATTCCACTGGTTATCCAAGCAAAAACTTTAAAGGGAGAAGAAAAGTAGGAACAAACAGTTGAGCATTATTTCTATCAACTTTTTCCTATGCCTAGAAACACCAGAAACAAAGCAAAGAAAAAAATTTTCAACATTATTTTCCCAATACACAGAGCAAGTAATTTTTTTGAAAAAAACAAAAACCAAAAAACTTATTACTTATTTTTATCCTTTCATACCAGTTCTTTCCCATTTTCAACAGCAATCCTGATCAAAGTCAGTTTTGTGGGTTTTTTTTTGAGATAGAGTCTCAGGCAGCTCATGTTGGCCTTGAACTTGCTACACAGCTGAGGATGACCTTAAACTCCTGATCCTCTTGCCTCCTTGCTATGCTATAAATTATAACCCCAAATTCTCAACTCCTCACACCCTAAAACTTCTTACCATTATCCTACAATCTAGTGGAGAAAGTTATTATGGAGGAAAACGAGGTAAATTTTATTTTTAATCTTAATATTAAGTGAATTATTAGTAACAGCACTTTAAGAAAAAAAAAACAGGAAACCTGCTGGATCCTATCTAGCATAAACAATATATTCTACTCTCTCATGCTTTTATATAGGTTAAAAGTATTGAACAGGCCAGGTGGTGGAGGTGTACAAGGATAATCCCAGAACTTGGGAGGCAGTAGCAGATGGAGCTCTGTGAGTTCGAGGCCAGCCTGGTCTACAAAGTGATTCCAGGACAGTCACGACTGCACAGAGAAACCCTGTCTCGAAAAACAAAAACGAAATAAAAATTATTAAATAGTGGTTTACATGCTATCACTGCAATTATCATATCATTTTAGAAGCCTTTTGGGTCCAGAAAAGCAAAGGAATCATTAAGGCAAAACTATCATATGAAATAAAAACTAAATATCTGAATAACCTCTTTGTCCATTCAATTTCATGTTAGGCCTCAAAAGGACCTTACAAGGGACTCTACAATAGGAAGAGAAATCTGGAAAGAAATGCAGTTTTGGAAGAACTGATACGACATACAGAAACACGAAGACTTCATATTAATTCAAATACTAATGGCCGTCGCCATGCAAACAGCTGGAGATGAAGCCAAATTTGGAAAAAACAATATTTTATGCTGCAGTGAGAAATTAGGGAAATGCTGTACTGACGCATTAAAATATTTACTATCTGTTGTCACAGACTTACCCAAGGGAATTTGAAGCCACTTCTAAAATCGGTTTGCTTAATAACTTCAAAATAAAGTTCATGTCTTAATGACAGTAATTATTGGAGGCCAACTCTTTCGAAAATGTCAAAAGAGCATACAGGGGGATGAAAATCTCCGAAACCTGGGCCATCATCAAGGGACAAAAGGTTTATTTTCTTCTGATCTGCCAGGGGGAAAAATGACTTGGCCCTGCATCACACACCTAAAAACCCAATAGGGTTTCTTCGCTGACAACAGCCCCGTGTGTGAACGCATACCTTGGTGTGGTTAAGGAATAGACGAAGAGCGAAGTGGATGGTAATTATTTATCTCTAATTTTCTCAAGCACCTTCTAAGCCTGCACGGTAAAATGCCTCTTCACGGCCATCCGAGGCAATGAAAAATCCAGACCTGCCCTTCTGCCCACCCCACAGCTTTGGGGGTTTGCACCGCAGCACCGGGCCTGGGGTTCCCTTCCCGGCTCGTCATTGTCCGGTGGGAAATCCACGGAGCGAGAACCGTAACGGGGACGAGAAAGTGCTAACCGGAACAAAAACTAGTATCAAAAATAAGGCTATTTTTTACCTGCTTCCCTCGACCACCTCACGTGAAACAAAACCAAGAAAACACCAGCAAACTTGCCCTACCCGTGTGAAATCCCACCAGCGCGGTTCTAGGGCGCTTCTGTGTCGGCCCCCGGGACGCCGAGCAGTCGGGGCGCCGTCTCGGGGACCCCGGCTCCCTCCACGGCCACGGCCCGCGACTAACAGGAAGGGGATGGCCGGACGCCAGAACCGACGGTAAACGAGCGATTCCCGCCGAACCCTGCTCGCACAAGGGGTGAGAAGTGATGCGGGGCCCGGGCTAAGCTCGGCGGAGGCCGCGGGCAAGGCCTCGGGACTGCCGAGAGACAGGCAGGTCTCGCCGAAAGGGAGGCGGGAGAAGCGGGGCCTAGGCCGCAGCAGGCCCCGAAGTCGCTGTTCGCTACGAGCGACCCGGGCATGGCGCCAGGCCTCCGAGCGGGGGCTAGCATTACCTGGACAGGTTCCTGCAGCACCGTCATCCTTGAGGCTCAGGCCCACTTTCTGCAAGTGCCTCAGGCCCCCCCCCGTAGCGACTCCGGCCCGGCCAGCCCCGGCTCATTTAAACTCACCAGCGACCGTTACCGGGGGATGGGGGAGGCCGAGTGGTTGCCGAGCTCCTCCGAGCGAGACACGGAAATATCCGAAGTGGAGAGAGCCAAACGAGAGCAAGACAGAAAAGCCCGAGAGGTGTCGGAAACACCCGAGGTGAGTCGGAGGAGGCGGGGCCCGTGACCGGAAATTGTCGAGTGCTACCGGAAACTGTTGCGTTGGACCCAATCGGAAGTTCCTCTTTTCAAGCTACTCCTTCGCCCATGCACTCCAAGCCCCACCGGCCACACCACTGGGTCACGCCCAGAGAGCAATCAGTGGGTTGGGCCTGGAGGAAAGGATACGGCAGGTCAGCGTTAGGTGGCGGAGCCCAAGTCAGGCTTCGCGCCTCCGCACTTCTGCCTTGTGGTGCATGGTAGATTCAGCAAAGGGTAAAATTCTGGTTCGGGGCTGAATTTAATAAAGTGTTTTGAGTTTAGATTGTTATCCACTCTTGGGATTCCTACGAAGGGCTCTGAGGAAAATCGAGGAACATTTGCAACATTGCCATTCCCCAAACACACAGGATTCCTGTATTCAAAGAGATTATGGTCTGTTTGAAAAACGAAAACAAAATGACTAAGCTGCATACTTGCCTAGACTGCACGAAACTGTAGGGTGGACGTGTTTTGACTTTACACACTTGCCCTGGGAGGTGGACTCGGAAGGATCTAGAGTACAAAATAGTTAACAACTAGATAGCAAGTTCGAGGTACATAGACCCTGGGGTACATGACACCCTGGCTCATGAAAGAAAAAAAAAAATAGTGTAACTGAGAACTACATTATGTGCTACCTGTTATTGGTGATGTAAAACTTCAGAGAAGAGGAAAACACGGATTAAAATGACAGATGCAGCTGGAGCCACACAGGGCTTACTTTCCTGCTTTTTTGGTTACATCTTCAGAATAAACCAAGGAACTATTAAAATCTTGCTTTTTACCAGACAGGGAAAACTCTCAAAAGTTAATTTTCTGTTTGGACTCCTCTAAGCTAGATGTGAAACAGGAAATTTTTTTTTTCCCTTGATACTAAGGATTGACCCTCTCACGCCTGTGCACGCTGGGCCTGTGTCCTACCACTGAGCCACAACCCCAGTTCTCTTGGTACTTCTTTGTATTCTTTTTAAAGTTTTGGAAGCACGGTCTCAGCTATGTTGCCCAGGCTGTCTTTGAACTTCTAAGTCTTGTTCTTAGCCTCTTAGACTACTGCTGGCACCAGGTCTAAGTCTGGAAACCAATCCGTCTCAATCCGCCCACCCCTTCATTTCCACATTGGGTACAGATGACAAAATTAGCACGGGTCCCTCTCATCTTCTGGGTGATGCTGGAGGAAATTCATTTCACGGTTTCCATCTTCTTCTTCCTCCTTTCCTTCTGATAGATCTTTATCTTTCTCTACCAGTCATCTCTAGACACTGCCTACATACTCATAGCCCCATGAAGGACTGGTGCTAAGGTAATTTTCAGCTGCTCAGTGTCCTGTGTTCTTTTAGCGGGACTTTGTTGGATGAATCAGACTGGGAATAGATGTCTGTGCTAACTTACATAACAGTCTCTAGCTATTTAAAGTTCACTCTAAGTCAAATGAAATTCTTCAGATACTCTAGTCATATCACAAAGACCTATGCAGCAAGAGATGACACGTTAGGGAGTCACATAAACATAGAATGTTATCATTATTGACATAACCAGGGATGGAGGACAGCTTTACCTCTGGATCTTGCTATTAGCTGAGCACCTCAATTCTCTGCCACCAAACCTTTCTCTTCAAACAATGGCCTCTCATTGGTTGGTGGCCTATCCCAGCTTCACTTGGTGCCTGTCAAGATAGAGCACGAAAATAGAAGCTGTGAGGCCCCTTCAAGACTAGATTTATAAGTCAAACCCATTGTTTCTTGTTGGTCAGTTTAAGACACAGGACCAGACTGGATTCCCTCAGAGGAAAATGAGCTCCGTCTCTTATTGAGGAAGTGGCACAGTGACCCCACAAAAGGAATGTGCTTTGGGAGGGACTGTTGGCTCATCTTTGATTTCTTTCTCCAACACCGTAGTACTGGAGACCAGACCTGTAGGCTGACTTTTGGCTATTGGATTCTTTTTCCTACTTCCCTATACCACCCCTATTCCTTCCAAACCCATAACACTAGGTAGGAGAGAAAGAAAGTTAGAGGGGAAAAGGGGCGTCAGTATAGTTAGACTACTTCCTGCTGAGTAGGGGTGTCAAGTTCCTTGGGGCAAATTTAATCTGTGTCATCAGGATATCTCCAACCATCAATCCAGCAACCAGTGCAAACACCAGCAACAGAAGCCACATCAGCCACCACAGTCTTTCAGGGATTTAGTTGTTTTTTTTTTTGTTTTGTTTTGTTTTGTTTTTGATTCTCCATGGAGCCCTAGCTGTCCTGGAACTCTCTTTGTAGACCAGCCTAGCCTCCGACTCAGAGATCCATCTGCCTCTGCCTCCCTAGTACTGGGATTAAAGGCATGTGCCACTATTGCCCACCTGGCACATCTAGCAGTTAGCAAGAGTTTTCAGAATTCCAAACATACACTACCCTCAGCTGGCAAAATCATACCTCTGCCAGAGCATGAGGCAAGTCACAGTCAGATGCTGTGAACAATCTGAAGCAGTCCCATATCCCACACCTGGGAATAAAACAAAAATGTATTCCCATAATATTTATCTGTTTTTAAAGAAACCAAAAATTCCTACAACACAGAGGCGTACGTAGCTTTGCAAATGCTACGCAAGCACTATCAGAGAGGTGCACCTTCAGGTTGGGCCTCCTTGGAAATGGTCTTCGACATCAGGCATAGGATGAGAGAGTCTGCTCATGGAACTGGAAAGATAAGGATGACTCAGAGACATCACACCTAAGATTTGACCTGGGGGGAGGGGAGCGTGGAGAGATGGCTTAGTGCTTAAGAGCTCAATTCCCAGCAACCACATCTGTAATGAGATCTGGTTCCCCCTATTGGTATGTACGCATACATTCAGGCAGAGTGCTGTATAACTAATAAATAAATAAATAAATAATTTTTTTTTTTTTTTTGAAAGAAAGATTTGACCCTGAAGTTCAGGGTCAACTTGTCTACAAAGAGAGTCCAGGACAGCCAGTGCTATACAGAGAAAGCCTGTCTCTGGGACCTTTAGTCCCAGCACTTGGGAGACACAGACAGGTGGATCTTTGCAAGTTTGAAGCCAGCCTGGTCTACATAGTGAGAGCCAGGGCAGCCAGGTACCTTGTCTCAAAAAAAGAGAGGGGGTTATTTTGACTTACAGTTTGAGGGCACACCCATTCACGAGGGAAAGGCATGGCAAAAGGCACTCACTTTGCACCTGCAGTGAGGAAGCAGAGAGAGGGCGGCAGCTGCTCAGTTCCCCGCCCCATGGAGTCTCATTGCCCACAGTTATGGTGCTCCTCTCACCTCAATGAACCTGTTCTAGAAACTCCCTCACAGGCCTGCCCAGAGGCTTGTTTTCACGGCTGGTCATTTAAATTCTGTCACGCTGACATCAGGACAAACCGCCATTGATTATTAATTATTTGGAAACTTTCTTAAAAGCCATCCAAAGCGGTGTTAAAAACAATCCTAAGCTGTGCTTGCATTCTATAGCAACCGCACAGCACTGCTAATGCGGAATGTGTGCTTATTTTATACACTGAGCTCTTTTATCACACAGGGTGTGCCCACTCAAGTCTTGACTTGTTCAATGGAGTTTTTGTAAGCTTAAAGGAAGTTTTACCAGAGGACAGTCTAAGGTGTTTGATGCCACTTTGAATTTTGAACTTAGAATCTAAGTCTTCAAAGCCTCTGCCCCATAGAAAAGGGCATCTCACACTGGAGAACTAGTTCAGTCAGTAAGTGCTGGCTTTACAAGCATGAGGAGCCGAGTTCAATCCCTAGAACTCCTGGGGAAAGCCATATGTAGCGGCACACAGTTGCAGTCCCAGGGCTAGGGCAGTGGAGTCCCAGTTAGACCCGGGACTAACTGGCCAGCCAGCTTAGTCTACTTGGTAAACTCCATGCCAGTCGAAACCATATGCCAAAAACCAAGGGGGATGAGATGGCTCAGCGGTTCAGAGCACTGGCTGCTCTTCCAGAGGTCCTGAGCTCAATTCCCAGCCCCCACATGGTGGCTGGAAACCATCTATAATGTAATCTGGTGCCCTCTTCTGGCGTACAGATGTATATACAGATAGAACAATCACACATTAAAACAAAAACCAGAAAACGAAAAACAAAACCAAGGTGGAGCTAGGCATGGCGGTCCATGCCTTTAACCCTTGCACCTGAGCGGCAGAGGCAGACAGAACTCTATGAGTTCTAGGTTAACCCATTCTGCATAGCCCAGGTGAGCCAATGCTGTTGTAGTGAGACCCTGTCTCCAACAACAGCAAACACACAAACAAAACAAACAGAAACAAATTTCCAAAACAAGTGAAATAAACAACAACAACAAAAATCCCACCAGAGTAGATGCTGTTTGGAAATGACACTGGAGACCTCCACATATCTGTGCACATACACATACACATGCATGTTTGTGTGCGCGCGCACACACACACACACACACACACAGCCTCTCTTCTGACTACTGTTCACCAGGTTAATAATCTGTCACAGTGGTTTTCTATCAACCCACAGCGAGGCCACCTCATCTGAGGTACTCTGGTGAGCTCTTGTCCTTCTGGTTGTGAGCCCAGCCTTAAATGGTGGAGTCATTTCTCCAGCCTATCTCATGGGCTCTTTTAGAGCATTTGACTTAGCTCCTGGGTGTGCTGGTTAGTTTCTGTCAACTTGACAGAAATTACAGTTGTCTGGGACGGGAGAACCCCAGTTGAGGAATCGCCTCCCTCAGATGAATTCTTGATTTCTAGCTGATGTGGGAGGGCCCCGGCCCGCCGTGGACAGTGCTAGCTCTAGGCAAGTATGCCTGGGCTGTGTGAGAAAAGCAGCTGACCGAGCCTGGGAGGCCAGCCAGTGTTCCTGTGGCCTCCGCTTCAGTTCCTGCCTTGAGGTTTCCGCCGT